GCCTGGGAGGATTTTAATGATTCATGATAATGTCAGGTTGTTTTTCGGGGGACCAATGAACATCCTTAAAATGACGGGAGCGATGCTTGGAGTACGGAAGCCTTTCTCCTCCCGGGGCTGCGGGTTCAGAGCGAACGGCGGGGACGATTTATACAAGTGAGCAGATAGACTGAACACTGCGGGCGGCTGGGCATTAGATGCGTAGCTTTGCTGAAAATACCGGAAAATAAATTTTATATCATCCCGGTCGCAACAAGTGGGTGGCGAAGCGCATCGTGACGTTACATACCTGGTAGATGTATTTCAGAGTGAGACGAATACAGACCGTGTCAAATCCCGTCGCTAACAGAAACACAACCGCTATAAATGTCTGGGCAAGGTGAGAGTTCATCTATTAAACTGACTGAAAATAAACAGAAAGCTGGAGTATAGATATTTTTTATAATAGCCTGCTTACAAATGGGTAGGCTATTTGTGAGCCTGCCTCTTTATTATTACACTGAATATAACTTCAGATTCTTGTATAACTTTTCTTCAGGTTAACTTGGAAAGTGAGCTATTATTGTTACAAGTTAATTTTCTAAACGACAGTAAAGTAACTGTTAGGGAAGCTCAAATGTGGAAAAATTGGACTGATATTAATATGCGATAGTAATACTGCTGTTATGTTAGATTTACCAATGTTTTATTTTATCTTTTTCTTATCCGATTACCCCATTAATCGTAGGAATAATCAATTGATTACGCAATTACTAAAATATTCATTTACAACAGCCCTAGTATTTGATATATATCCAAATCAAATATCATCCAACCTGAAAGTCATTGATACTTGATAAAAGACACTACTCCGCGTTCTGACGCACAAGGGGGAAGAAAAACAACAACCATGACGGACTATAATGAGGATTAAGTTGTTAATATGCTGGCTCCGGTCGGACAACAGCTTCAAATGACTATTGGTAAAACACTGAGTACGCTGACGTTATTGCGCATACGGGACACTTTCAGGCTGTTTGCCTGTTCACACTGGAGAACACAGACAAGTCGCATATATTTGGAAGTGTGAAAAGCAATGGTTAAAAAAAAATCCAATTTGACAAAAAAATTGGAATTGGGTCACTTCAGGCTGCAGTGTGAACACAGCCTAACAGCTCACCTGGATGAAAGAAGACACTCAGTAACACGCTGACTGTCAGCACGTTCTCAGACAGGGCTGCCATCACTCTCTTATATCCCTCCATTAGCTCACAGAGACAAGATGAAAGAAAACTGTCAGTTTAAATAAAAGCGGATAATTAATTGAAATATCAAGTTATGTCAGAGAAATGTCACATTTAAAACAAAATGCATAAAAAAGGGTAAAACTAAAATATCAAAATTCTGGCATTACACAATTAGTTTACAAAATTAGGATGATTGTATTGTATAATTTCTGATCATAAATTTATGTCATTAATCCATATAACCAATCTTTTCTTTGACATAAATAGCATATATTTCACATTCAAAGACTATCACACCATTGGTAAATGAAACATTACTTTCTATCAAAACTTAAAATACACCTAATGAGAGAAAAAGTTAAGCTAGTGGTTAAGATCAGTCCAGCAGCTTCTGCCCCTATATAAATAAAAATCCAATAAATAACTACAAACAGTCTCCACTACAGAGCAACGGCTCCCAATGAACAGTTGACAGCAGTTAACTGCTATCAACGGTGCTGTGTTGTAAAATTAAACACAGCAAAAAACATTAATTATGATAACTTTTAAAAACAAACAAAACATGGCAAAATTACACATGAAAGCCTGTATTTATTTAAGTTAGTCTAAAATACATGCTAAAATATAACACTTGTAAAAAACACAGAACTGATCCTAATACATACCAGTTTCAGACGGCAACAGAAAAAGGGAATGATCCCAGTTACTGGTTACTATGGTAACCACTAAACATCAAGGGTGACATAACTTATATAGAATAATAGAATGTACTTTATTAATCCCCAAGGGAAAATTGCTTATTTGTTGACAAGCTACTCCATCCAAATACTCCATTAAATATTAATAATACGAATATAACCATAACAGATAAAAGAAAGATGGCTTCCTCCACCTTCAGATTAACGCTAGTAATGCAATATGACAAAAAATAAATGAATAAATAAACTAACAAGCATGTACATGCAAATATGTTAATTCTATAAATCTATGAATGGGTGTAGAGAAGATTAGATTTAAGTTACTAAGAGTTGGGCGTTGTAAAGTCTGATGGCATTGAGCAGCAGGTGGTTCAGCCCACAGCATGTGACAAGGTCGTACAGCAGCCCTGTCCTCAGTCTCATCACCCTCACTGCTACAACCAAACCACAGCTGAACCATTTGAGAACTTCTGGAGATGACAGGTCTCAGTGCAATAGCTGAAGTCTATTGTAGAGAGAGTGAAAAGGAAGGGAGAGAGGACACTCCCTTCTGGCGCCCCTGTGTTGCCAACAACGCTGTCTGACACACAGTGTCACAGGCACATAAACTGTGATCAGCCAGTTACAGTCCACAATCCAGGACTATCTAACTAACAGGTGGAAACAGGGGATCCACCTGAATTGCTGTCGTCTTCTCACCTGGTAGAACAGGATGGATGGTGTTGAATGCACTGGAGAAGTAAAAAAAACATAATTCTCACCATCGTCGCCGGCTGGTCCAGGTGAGCATATACACGGTTGATCAGGAAGATGACAACGTCCTCAAATCCAAATTTGGGTTGGTAGACAAACTGCAAGAGCTCCAAAGTGTGATTGTACCAGGGGTTGGAGCTGCGCCGGGACGAGTCTCTCCAGGGAATTCATGATGTGGGAGGTCAGTGCTACAGGCCTGTAATCCTTGGAGTCACAGGGATGCTGCATTTTTGGCACTGGAACAAGGCAGGGTTTTTTTCTACATCACAAAGACCCTCTGTAGCTACAGGTTCATGTTGAAGTTATGCTGGAGGACTACACAGAAGTTGGGTAGCACAGGCGTAGAGCACCCTCTGGCTCACACCATTAGGGCCTGCAGCCTTCGCCAGGGTGGAGTCTCACCAGCTGTCTTCTAAGATCTTTGGCAGTGATGTTTACCGTAGAGGTGGCTGGCGGAGGGGTGGGGGCATGGTCACAAGAAGAGGGAAGGAGGTGTGAAGGTGAGACTCGCGAGGGAATGAAGGACTCTGAAGAGGGAGTGGGGGAGTGGACAGCAGCAGGTATTGATGGGAGTATGGGCGGGAGGCAGTGACATGCGGTGAGGTTCATAGTTGGTGGGGCACTGAATTAATCATAATCAGATTTACAAACGTAGACCCCCTGCATGTTATTGTTTACATACGGAAATTTTGCAAATGCAGATAACGCTGGAGGTCAAAGACACTATTCTTTTACATGTCATCCATAGCCGCGCTGTCGCGGTAGAATAATTCCGTTAACTCAATGAAACGTGGAAATGTAGGTTTATTAAAGTAGTGTTACGCTCCACAACAAAAGGAGAAACCGCTAAAGTACAATTCAAAACCACTTCTTTCTCGCTCTCTATATCGACCAAAACACGCACAGCCTCGTTGCCATAGCAACCGACAACAACGCCATTTCAGTTTCAGCGTACAACACCAAAAAACACTCAAATATTCCCTATACAAAGCACAGAACATTCAGTCTGTTGCAGTAGTATAGTTTTAGGCTTAATGTTTTGGGATTATAGCTACCGCTATTAGTTCATCCAAAGCCAAGTCTTATCATATTCAAAACCAATGCGATCTGGCTTTGAATATAGTGGTCGACCGCTTATGTTTGGTGAGGCTTCTTCGAAAATTATTTAAGTCACAAAATCCCTTCTGAGTTCACACAGTGCCACAACCTGAGAAAAGAAGGTAAGGGAAGCAGAAAAGGCAGTGTCGAGCAGAACATCCACTAAGTCGGTCTTTTCTGGTATACCACTCCGTTTGAGAAGAGTGGTACCCTTCTTTCTCGTAGTTTGAAGCAAACTTTTAGACAGAACACCGGTGTTGATCTTCCTTTAGTTATTTCCTGCTTCGATTGAAAATCCACTTTAGAAAACTGTTTAAGTGCAGAAATATAAGTACGTCTTCCACGTTGACGTCGGAAGAGAAGAGAAAGCAATATATCACTGCACTTCACTTATCTACTAGTGACAGCGAGCTACACTTATTAGCTCGCTATCACTCACTCTGCAAACGTGGAGTCACAAGACCAATGTCTGGGGTCATGAGCGCCCCCTGCCATGAGGCAAGAAAACTGCCTGCCTCACCTCGAATATGTTCTCTGCCGTTTGTGATCGTTCCTCAGCACACGAAACACGTTACACACAGAGTTGGTGACAAAAAAAACACTGTACTTTACATACATAATCTAAATTATGGAAAATCAGTTTAGATATTAAATGTCTTTTAAAAAGTTTGTTAGCGACATACAGACAGGAGGAACATGTTCCCATCGAACGGCAGCCAGCACGGTTAGGGAGAGGTCATGCAATCCAAGCTGAGGCTCAGCTTGCTGTTGCCTCACCACCTGTGCTTTCGAGCATTTGAACGGGAAATCCTGTTTTCAGACTGAAAATATGTGCTCTTGGACTATGGCATAAAAATTCCACCAAGAAAGCAGAGAGTTTTGCAAGCGAAGATTAGCTCCGAGCAGAGACTAAGTGTGAGTGCGAGGAGAAGTTTTGAGTGCAATCATTACAAATTCTAAGAAGAAAGACAGGAAGTCCTGCTTCCAAAATTAAAATGTAAGCAAAAGTATTAAAAGTTTTGAGAACAAATGACATGAAATCCTGCTTTCAGACTGGAAGTGTGTGCTCTTGGATTATGGCAGAAAACATCCTCCATACACATGTAGCCATCATTATTACAAAGGCCAATGTTTTAATTGTGAGAAAATGAAACTTCCAATCATTTAACAATTAGCAGTAAGACCCTAATGAAACCAGGTTTTCAGAAATCTTACAGACAGAAAGTGTCTTTATTTAAAAGAGGTCAGTGTTTATTCCCTTGTGTGTTGATGACCTCTGGGCAGTCAGACTCTGCTGAGCTGCTTTTCGTCTTGGAGATCTGTGTGTATGTCGTCTCCTGTCGCTGCCTGCTGCTATGCGTGGAGCAAGATATTTTATCAAGAAGTTTAGATCCTCATGTTAAACAGCTCCCCCAGTGGTACTGGCTCACAATTCAAGGCCCAGTTAGTCAATAAATGGAATCTATTGGAAGTTAGAAGGGAAAACAGAAACATAAAAAAATCAGATAAAACAGTCATGACAGGTAACAGGTGATTTTGACTAATTTAAAGAGCATATTGATACATCATTTGCTTGGGGAGTTTTTCTATCATGAGAACAGTGTAGTACTACACCTACACCGAGCTGTTATGGAGTTTCGGATCTCTTCTTGTGAAACCTGGAAGACATTACAGAGCAGTCAGAATTATTGTTGTGTTTCATGATATGAGAGTAGAACCAGTTCTGAAATTAGTAGTGAGTGAGTCTGAAGGATGCAGACCTTTTTGGAGATATTTTTATAGTAGCTGCAGTTGGAAAAATATGTTATAGTCAGAAAAGTGAGTAATAGCCTACACCATTTATATATTTGCAGCCTGGAGGAAGTCTGAGCAGACAGGACCAAGCCTCCGACCACTTTTACCTTTATTTTCTGTTCTTCCAGCTAAGAAGTCTAATCAAATTACCATTATGGACAATGGTATATTTTGATGTTATACAGAGTAAATGTCATGTCAAGGTTTTAATTGGAATTTGCACTGTTGATTTAGAAAAAAAAAATAGATGAGGTAATATATATATAATTTTTTTTAATATATAGGATATATTTTCTTTATTTTCAGATAGTTACAATAGAGGGTCCACTTGAAAAGTATTTTTAAGATTTTACTTTTACACAAGTACCAACATCGTTATATTTAAACCCTATAAATGGAGCTATTCTTGATTTATTTTGCTCTACATTTACTTATGTGCATATTTGGGTTTTCTTTTTATTGAATTTTTCAGAATTTGCACAATACTTTTTTTCACCCCACATCATCATAATGGGGGAACCAAATGAAGGAACAGTTAAGTGCCTGGAATAGACTCAACTACACTTCTAAGTACACATACTCAAATTATCATACTCACCAAATGATGATTTTGAACAGGCAGACAAGCATCATAACCCCTAATGCTGTGAGAATTGGAATTTGAACTTTAGAACTCTCAATTCCTGGGAAAATAAGAAATGGAAAAAACTGAATACATGCAAGATATAACAGCAACACGCTGGACTCAGCCTTCCAGATCAACGTTCAGTTATTCTGAGCGGACCGTGACGAGCGGAGACCGGGGAGGAGTTCTCTCCCCAGTGAATGAAGGTTGGTGTACGAACTGTGGACTGGTAAAAAGCTGCTGCTCTGAGGTGATAGAACTCATGACAGTGAAATGTCTACCGTACTCTCTGCCTCCAGAGTTTACAGCGATGTTCGTCACCATTGTTTACATTTTGCAGGTTGCTAACGGCAACAAACCATTGAAGGAGCAGTATGACACCATTAGCTCACAGTTGATTGCAGGGGACTTTAATCATGTGAAACCAGCAGACGCTCTGCCCAGTTTTTTACCAATATGTTACCTTTCCTACAGAGGGAGACAACACTTTGGACTGTGTGTACACCAACATTCACAGTGCGTACAAAGCTCTTCTTTGCTCCCATCTTGGCCTCGGAAGAAGACAGTCACTGTGCCCAGGGATGCCGCCTCTGTGCTCCAGGACCATTTTCAGTGCACACATTGGCAGGTTATAAAAGAGGGATGTACTTATTAGGGAGAGGTGGACCTGGAGGAATACACCTCCACTGTTTTGGGCTTCAAATCTAAGTGTCCTGATGATGTCATCACCACCAAGAAAGCAACCTGTTACCCAAACCAGAAACCCTGGATGAATGCAGAGATCTGCTGAAAGCCAGGGATGTTGCTTTCAGGACAGGTGAAGCATCAGTTCTCAGAGAGGCAAGGAAAGAACTGACTTCAGGCATTGTAAGGACTTCCTGACCAACAGAGCTTAGACCGTCAGGATCTAAAACACTGTCTCCTCCTCCATCACCCTCAGCACTGGCTTGCTGCAGGCAGTGCACTGAGCCCCCTCCTCTTCACTCTGCTGACATATGAATGCTCGCCAAGGCACCCCAGCTTTCATATAGTGCAGTTTGCCGACGACACAACAGTAGTGGGATGCATCATGAACAGTGGTGGAGATGGTAGTGGATTACAGAAAGGACAAGGATCCTCTTCAGCCCCTGTACATTGGAGGAGCTGCTGTGAAGGTGGTCTCCAGCCGCAGGTAACTTGGTGTGCAAATATCCACAGACCTCGCCTAGAGTGCCAACACCTCCTGTCTGGTCAGGAAGGCCCATCAGCATCTCTACTTCCTCTGGAAGCTGCAGAGAGGTGGACATGGGAACTCAGTTCTGAGGGGCTTCTATTGCTGTGTGGTGGAGAGCGTTCTCTACACCACCATCAGCATGTGGCATGGCAATTGCACTACTGCTATGAGGACGACTCTGCAGAGGGTGGCTGCACAGAGTATTGTGGGGAGCAGCCTTCCCTCCATCTTGGACCTCCGCACATCATAATGCAGGAGAAGGGTGCTCCTCATCCTAGACACAGTCTGTTTCAGCTCCTTCCTTCAGGCAGGAGGCTGAGGAGCATCCAGAGCAAGACCACCAGGTTGAGAAACAGTTTCTTCCCTGCAGCCTCAAACTGCTGAATTCAGTCTGCACTTAATTCAGCTACATCTTACGTTTTATTTATTTACACACACACACACACACACACACACACACACACACACATATATATATATATATATATATATATATATGAATATATAGTTACTCATCACTTATTTGTTAGACTTCTCGATCTTGGACCTGAGTTCGAATTTTGTACCACAAGCAAAAATTGCAAAATGATATGACAATAAAAAAATTCTTGAGTCCTTACTTTAATGTTGAATCTAAAATCCGCAAATGTAAAAGCTTCAGAAAAGAATGGATGTACTGTAGGCTCAGCTAAACTTGATTTTCCTCCTAAACTGACAGGCATCATGTTTGTTTTATTTATGTTTTGCTGACTCAGATAAAGAAAATGAGATAGTTTGCAATAATCAAAACGAAAAAGTGAGTGCATCGGAAATTCTTCAGAGAAACAGATGAGTACCTTTTCTTCCAAGAACTTGATTAGACAGCTCAATCTCTGAATGGAGAAAAAACAAATCTGAATAAATCTGATTGCTTAAATATGTTTCCATATGCAACTTTCAAATGATCCCCTGGTGACTCAGTCACAGTAACATCCTTCCATATTTCTCTATTTACCTATTACTGGATCAATCAGGCGAATCTCTGGAGATGTCTGACTACCAACATCATTCGTGGCCACACAGTAATACGTTTTCCCCTCAGTGACCTGGACTCCATAATTTTCTCCTTCACCTGCTTTCATGGCTCCAGTTGTGGTGTTCTCGAACCAGGTGAAGACTCTGACGGGAGGCTTAGCTCTGCTGGAGCAACGCAGCTCCACCCATCTACCTTTTGTTAAACTGATGGATGCTGAGGTGTTTTTGGGAGCATCTGAGGAAAATGTGACAAACCTTAAGATTATTGATGAGAACCAGCTGAACCATGATGTTCTGATGGGATCACTTACAGGAAACACTGAGAGTCACTTCTGCATTTGCTGTCTTGTGTTTTCCTCCAGCCACGGGATATCTAGCGAAGCAGATGATGTTGTATCCATCGTGGATCTCTGACAGAGTGATGTTCTGCTGGATTGTAGTTGTAAACGTTCCATCTTTGTTCTTCTGCATCTGTCTGTGAGGGTTTGGTTGGAGGTTCAAGGAGAGTCCAGGAGGTGATTGCGGACAGGGAGTGAGAGCTGAGCACATTATGGTGACAGAGTTCTTCTCCTTCACGTCACCTGAGATTTCAATCCTGGGGCTCCAAGCAGAATCTGTGTTTTCACATCACACACACATTTTACAGCAGACTGATTCCACTTTAAAGACACGCTGAGCATAAGAAGATGGCAGATGATAAATATAAAGAAAAGATCACATTGAAAAATAAAATTAGATAAAACATCCACTTTCTGTTGACAAGCTGCATTCTTTAACTCTGGACTCTGACTCTGTTGATGATCCTACACAGCAGATGTTTAGCTTTACAGTGAAGACTCAGTTTATGGAGTTTGTCATCATAATCAATTTTCTCTTGATAATATCACGTACATAAAAACAAAATGCTCTCACCTTTAACTTTTACGTGAACAGGATCACAGGTAGCAATTGATCTAAACGGCCCGCTTTCAACTCGGAAGAAGTATTTACCTCTATAGCTTTGAATCATATGAGAAAACACAGTTGTGCAGTTTTTCTCACTCAGACTTCCAATTATGTTGATTCCATATTTGCTTTTTGACCAACTGCTGTTGTGAACTATATTCTGTGGATAAGCGCCAATGAAAATTGAAGTTTTTATCCAGATTCCAAATGTTTTTCTTCTGCTGTCAAACTTCATTGTCTTGTCGTCAGTAAAGCTACATGGAATTAGCAAACAGGATCCACTCAGAGAGTCAAGATGCCTTGGTGCAGTAATGTTGATTCCCTTGTGTGTCGAATGACATGCAGTCTGAACTCCTGTAAAAGTAGAGTGCAGATAGACACAATGTGTCATGACCATTTTTGTGAAGCAGTTTACGGGTCAGTTTCCTGACCCGTAAACTGCAGCCTGTTGCATGTGGAGATTTAAACAAAACAGGATCTATTTCTTGGGACTAGAAAAATAAATGCTTCCACTAATGTCTCCAAATGAAAGTGAGAGAACTAACAGCTCACCTGAAAGAAAGAAGACACACAGTAACATGCTGACTGTCAGCACGTTCTCAGACAGGGCTGCCATCACTCTCTTATATCCCTTCATCAGCTCACTGAGACAAGATGAAAGAAAAGCTTCAGTTTAAATAAAAGCTGATAATTAAATAGAATTTCAAGTTATGTCATAGAATCGTTACATTTAAATCTTCCAAAGAAAATGCATAAAAAGGGTAAAACCAAAACATCAGATTTCTGGCACTATTATACTATTAGGTAATAAAAGTAGAATAATAATTAATGTTACTAGGACTCTATGGTCTCTGTAATCATTTATTGCTATTTGACAAATTTATCTCAGTAATCCACATAACTAAACTTATTGTGGCATAGATTCAACAAGGAACTGGAAACATTCCTTGGAGAGTCTGGTCCATATTGACATGACAGCATCAGACAGCTGCTGCAGATTTGTCGGCTGCACATCCATGATGTGAATCTCCTGTTCCACCATATCCCAAAGTTGCTCTATTGGACTGAGATCTGGTGAGTGTGGAGGCCATTCGAGTCCAGTAAACTCATTATCGTGTTCATGAAACAGTCTGAGATGATTTGCACTTTATGACATGGTGCGTTATCCTGCTGGAAGTAGCCATCAGAGGATGGGTACACTGTGGTCATAAAGGGACGGACACGGTCAGCAAAAATACTCAGGTAGATCGTGGCATCAACATGATGCTCAATTGATACTAACGGGTCCAAGTGTGTCAGGAAAATATCCCCCACATCATTATACCAACACCAGCAGCCTGAACTGTTGATACAAGGCAGGAGGGATCCATGTTTTCATGTTGTTGACACCAAATTCTGACTCGACCATCTGAATGTCGCAGCAGAAATTGAGACTCATCAGACCAGGCAACATTTTCCAATCTTCTATTGTCCAATTTTGGTGAGCCTGTGTGAATTATAGCTTCAGTTTCCTGCTGTTAGCTGACTGAAGCGGCACCCAGTGTGGTTTTCTGCTGCTGTAGCCCATTCACCTCAAAGTTTGAAGTGTTGTGCATTCAGAGATGCTCTTCTGTGTTCCTTGGTTGCAATGCGTGGTTATTTGAGCCCGAACCAGTCTGGCCATTCTCCTTTGACCTCTGGCATCAACAAGACATTTGCGCCCACTGAAATGTCGCTCACTGGATATTTTCTCTTTTGCGGACCATTCTCTGTGAACCCTAGAGATGGTTGTGCATGAAAATCTCAGTAGATCAGCAGTTTCTGAAATACTCAGACCAAACCCGTCTAGGACCAACAACCATGCCATGTTCAAAGTCACTTAAATCACCTTTATTCCCCATTCTGATGCTCGGTTTGAACTGCAGCAGATCGTCTTGGCCATGTCTACATGCCGAAATGTCATGTGATTGACTGATTCTACTTCACAGTAATGAGCAATTGGACAGCTGTACCCAATAAAGTGGCCGGTATTTAACATTAAAAACTGTCACACAAATAGTAAATGAAACATTATTTCGTATCAAGATTTATAACCTACCTAACAGGAAAAAGGTGAAGTTGGTGGATCAGTCCAGCAGTCTGCCCCTAAAGAATAAATAAAAATTCAATTAATAACCATAAGCAGTCCCGACTACAGAACAATGCATCCCAGTGAACAGCTGACACCAGTTAACATTAAACACAGCAAAAAATAACATTATAACAGCTAAAGCATATACAAAACATGGCAAAATTACACATGAATCACAATATGGAATTAAACTTGTCTAAAATATAATACTTGAAAAGAAAACAGAGCCAATACCGCAATTACAGACAATAAAGGGACGAGCTGACAGTTACTGGTTGCTCTGGTAACCACCACCTGTCGAGTAGCATAGGTTACGTTCACACTGAAGTGACCCAATTCCAATTGGATTTTCTTGGTACGTTCATTCGCATTTCCAAACCTTGCGACTCGTATTATCTCCAGTGTGAACTGAAATGTCCCGCATGCACACCAGAGGGCGCAACCACCTCACACGTAGAGAGTGTGCTCAGTGTTTTGTCAACCTCCATAAAAATTAACAAGTACTGATTGTTTTCGGAAATAAACATGGATGGTAACCGTGGGGAGTATCTTACAATTTCGAAGCTGTTGTCTAACCGGAGCCAGCACATTAACAACTGAATCCCCATTAGAGTCCGCCATGGTTATATATTTTTTTCTTGTTGGCGCGTATCAGGACGTAGCGGGATATTGAATCTAAAATTAATTCTGAGTGCACCATGTCAGATATCCAGTGGTTTGTTTGGAGGCAGCCTTTCTAAGATGCTTTGCCAGTGTGACATCATATCGGTCTATGAGCTCAAGGATTCCCAGAAAATGTCAATTTTTAGGATTTCCTAACTGAGAATTTTTCCTCCTTAATGGCAAGTTTCTCTCTGCAAGGAAGAGTATTCAGTCAATAACTCAAGTCAACACACTTCTCCAGTGTGCTTTTTCAGCTGCCATGGTTTTCTGCAGTTCACTATCAATAGTCTTACCTAGGCATAAGCGAGATGCCAGTTCTTTCCACATCAGATAAGCGTTTGTGAGAACCACTGGTTTCATGGTGCTTCAGTGTTTTTGAAAGACATCACCAGTTATTATACCCCCCCACAAGGCCTGTGTCAAGAACTTTAGCTTTACCAAAAAGCTTACATGCAAAACAATAGACTCTGTTAGTATTTTTGGAATACAGTAACCAATCTCGTTAAACTTTCTCTCCATTAGACAGTAAACAAAAACAGTATGCTTTGGAAAAACACCTTTTATTATTTTCTGATCTTGGATATGGCCCATCAGAAACTTTCTGTGGGCCATTTTCAACCATGTAATGCCTAAATGTGTCCCCCATTTTGTGTAGTAAAGGCCATTCAGATGGTTCTTCTGAATAAAGCCTTGTCTCAGCCCTCTCCTCCGCAGCTCTGTGCGTCTCTCCCTCTTCATCATCTGGTCCTCTCTGCTCCTCTCCCTCATCTGCACCTTTGTTTCTCATTCTCCTTTGTGGTGGTTGACTCACCATGACTGCCTGCACTAATTTTCCCATAAAAGAACACAATCAAAGATGGTCATCAAAATTCAAAAGAAATTTTGTTGCCTCCCCAATGCCTACCTCATGTCATCACTTGTCTCCTCTATCACTGACCTCATGTCTGTCTCCTTCATCCCTTGTCTGTGGTGTTCTCCACTAAGTCATGTGGTCAAAAAAGCATTATATATATTAGTTGTAAAAATGACAGATCTTAATAGAGTTTTTTAAAATAATGTTTAAACATTATTGCTTGAGATGGACTAGTTGCTCCCTCACTTCCACCTGCATTAGACCAACCTGTTGCCTTCCCCTGTCTGTCCTGATTCTTTCTCTCCACCCTCACAGCTGAATGACATACATTTTGTGTTAAATAGGCTTAAAAAATACAGCAGTCAAACCACAATAGAAATGAAACTTCAATTTAAATCATCTCCTTGTTGGATAACAGTTACTGACTGGACTCTGCATCTGATCTGACT